CTCGTGCTGTTTGGAGATCATACCCTGTAGCTCAGCAAATAGAGCTGGGGCCTCACTGCTTCTTCCTTAGAGCCCATCCCCTACACCAAGGTGATTGGGTAGGTGGGAAAAAGGTCCTTGAAATAAAGACTGGCCTCTTTATACAAAATCAAATATAAAGATGCTACTAACAGGCTTCCACATCCTCCCTCTGAAACACCTGGGTAGGCCAGAGATACCTGCTTTACTTTTACAACATCCTCAAATGCTCCTACTTCCTTGAACACATGGTATACACTGGTAGTTATCTTTAAGACAGATGCACTAACTGACATTTTATTCATTTTAACCACCAACTTTTTCTTCAATTATAAATCAGTTTGAATGTTTTCAGACCATGAGACAATAAAAACAGACCTGACATTTATAAAACTGCACCCCACACTGTGTCTCTTTTATAATAGAGTGGACCAACTGTTTTTCTAACTACAAAATGCAACACTGTGCAACTGCTGGGCCCTGGACTCCCTCGTGAATCTGTGCCCTGAGCAGCACATCTACGTCCACGAACGGGTGAGTGAAAGGGTGAGGTTCTCAGAGGCGAAACAAAGCATCTGAAGCAAACTGGATTTTGGAGGACAGAATCCCTTTGATTCTGGGCAAAAAATGCTCTCAGTCACGTGGGAGGCGGCAAAAGGGCAGGTTTGTGTCTGCGCACCGTGGCTTAGATGCCTGCCGCTCCCTCCGAATCCTTCATGTCCTCGGGAGGAGCACAGGCCGCCTGCTGGCTGAGCGATGGCCCTTGAAGTCCTCCCCTCCCCCCAGTGCTTTGGAAGCTCTCCAAGACCTAACTTCAACCTGCCCCCGTGGAGGCCTATCGGTTCCGGTTGTGGGTGTCTCCACAATCAGCCTCTATCTTCCCTGGCATAAGTCATATCTATTATGTTAAGACCAAGCCTTAACCCTGAAATGCTGTTTTTTTCCAATGGGACAGTAATGAGGTAGAAGAGGCTACATGGATCTATTGCTTTAGGTTAACATTTTCAATTCAGCACAAAAGTGTTCAGAAAGCCAGGCTCGTATCAGTAATACTTCCAGTATTACTGGAGAAATGACTTCCTGAAGGTGAGCCACTCCACCCCACTGTACAGACAGGGAGTCCAGTCTCAAGGCCCAGCATCGGGAATGGGTATCTTGCTTTCTTCCTGAGAAGTTCCAAAGACTTAAGATTTTGATCTTAATGCCTGACTGGGGCCTCAAGCCCAGAAGAGTGATTTTACTGTATTGTTGAAATGTTCCCTGAAAGGCGCATCCCATGGATAACGTCCACAGATGGTGAGCAACTTAGTAGGTAATTGTTCCAGAACCAGAATTTATGTTCCCCAACTCAAATATTTATAGAATCTTCACATCTGGCCTGGCTGCAGTGGGGGTGGAAGGACGGGTAGCACATCAAAATGGTGATGAACCTGGAAAATGACAAGGCTGCTGCTTTTCTATCTTTTAAAGCCTATCTCCAGGGGGTTAAATGCCTTCTTTTGCTGTTCTAGTGGCCCCTGTTTGGGGTTAAGAACTCGGAATGTAAACTGAAGGAAACCTATTTAATTAAACAACCTAATTGCAGGAGGAACAGAAGCAAAGACTCACCACCTTCTAGATATTAATCTTGCTTTTTCAGCCAAAAGCACTTCCTTCTTCCGCAGAGGCCCTCCTGCTGTGCTCAATTCTGAGTTGAGGAGGCTTTTCTTTGCGCTCCCCTTGCCAGGTGGACAGTCTCATTTTCTAGGACAAGCTCAGGCTCACAGATCATCACTATCAACAAAGATTTAGGGGAGAGACATGCCCTTTTCACTTCAAAAGCTTCATGTAGCAGACACACAAAATCCAATCACGTGACTGCCAGCCTCAGCTCAAGGAGTCTGTTAGAATCAACACCAAATGGGATTCTTTATTTCTCTTTTTATTTATTAATTTTTAAGGGGATTAGGAGGACAAACTATTGGATTACTCTGAAGGTGAGAGATATCATTTTTTAAATGTCCTGATTAGGCTTTACTCATCCCTGAAAGGTTATCAAGCTAATGCAAAAACATTGTCGAAGTGTGAAGCTGCCTTTTCAGAGACAGGAGTGGAAGGCTCCTGGCTTCCAAAGGAGAGTCTGCCTAAAAGTAGGTTCCCGGGGCCTGTGATGACCTCAAGTCAACCTGATGTAGTATATTCTATAGATTGCAGTATTTAGCAATTCACAATTTACTTGAAAATCTCAAATGTCTTACTGCTTTAGGTGACATGTCAGGTGACGTGGAATACACAGCTCTTCTGGATTGTGTGGTCTCTGTTGCAAGCTCACCCCAGAGTGCAGAGGCTGACTCTGGGGTGCTTTCCCACCTACCCCAAGTGAGGGGGGGCGTGCCCTGATGGAGCAAGGCTGATGCCACTAAGGTTGACAGCTGCAGAGCCTTGGGGAAATAGGTTCCATCCCATCAGTGCTCAGAAGAAACGACTGCCACCCCAGCTGGGCAGTATAAACTGCACAGCCTCAGGTCTGACTTCTTTTAGAGTCTTCGAGAATAAGAACTCAAAGAGCCATCTGCATTATTTAATCACCATTAAACAATCTCCTCTCCCTAGAAATGCCTGAGTTGACTATCCTGCATGGCTCCTATTTTTTGTAAAGATGTGGATGTGAAATGCAGGTGGGACCAGGATATAGAGTCATATTATCAACTCTCATTTCTCTTTAAGCAAAAATTCATCCCACTGTGGAGACTTCTCCAGGGATTTCTTCTAATGCTAAATCCACTCTCAACTAGGATGGGCTTAGAGAACACTTCAGAAATATTAAAAATCATACAGTTGTGGCAAAAATCACATTGTGGTTATTAAGTCCTTTTTGTAAATGGACAAAAATATGGCTCAGGCTAAGCTGTTTAAAAAAAAAGATTAGGTGGGGAGATCCACAAAGATATTAACACAGCACTAGGTGGAAATGACAAATATGTTAAGTACAAGGTATGAAACGCATGTCCATGTCCCTCAGAAGACCGATTACTCCCCTCTGTTGAAGAGGTCTAGAGGAAGCGCCCAGTAAGCACGGCACGTGGAGAAGAGAGAGGGCAACGAGGAGGAGGAGGGAGCATATGGTTCTATGGGGAACTTCTTCCTCCTAGAATTCTAAAAGCAAAAGGTGACTTTCGTTTTCTTCTACGCAAGTCTAAGAGACTCTACATGGGCTGACTCCTAACACTGAAACAGAAAATATTTCTCTGCCATGAAGGAACCTGACTATGTAGCAACAGTGTACAAAAAACTGCAAACACTCTCAGAGGGCAGTGACCCACTCTGCTCCCCAGAGGCTGCGGGAAGCAGGGCCTCCAGTGCCTCACTTTCCACAGCACTGGCAACGCAATGCAGAGAGCGGAAATCCTGTGGCGAAGCCACCTTCTAGGCCTTGCTCAGCCTTAGCAGGGTGATACTCCCACACTCTCTGATCCCTCCAGATGGCCTCAGCTCAGACTCAGCAGTGAGGAAACCCTCTCCTCACAGGGCAGATGGGGCAGCAGACACTTGTAAAAATAAAACAGTCAATTCAGTAACTTTTCCATCCTGTTATGTTTATCATGAGAAAAGTCAAGACTCCTCTTTCGTGGGCTGCACTGTTCTGAGAGGCGACCAGAAAACCTAACGTGGCCGACTCCTGGTAGTCCTCTTTCTCTTTCCCTCTCTCTCTCTCTCTCCACACAAACACACACACACACTCACTCACTCACACACACAGTCCTGGTCCAAAAAAATGGCATGATCTCACTGTTGTTTCCCCAAGGGCTGCAATTTATTAAACCAAAACAAATTTTAATTAAAAAAAAGCCATTGCTATTTTCTCCATCCTGAGTATGGTGGACTCTGATGGGCACTCTGGTAATAATCAGAATCTAAGATGTGCCCGTTCACTGTGAGAGAGACTCGATATCTGCCCTGAACACAGGAACCTGTTTCTGCCAAGCCTGAATAAGGCGAGTACTTGCAGAATTAATGGCAAATCAGTGTTGTCTAAATATTCTACAAGTAGGGTAAACTTTGAGCTTTCCTCTGTTTTTCCTTGCTTTCTCTGGGGGAGATAGAAAGGTTACTGCAACCATGTGTCTAAGTAATATATCACAAAAAGGCTGTGACTACACGTCAGGAGATAGCCATGGTGTTTATGATGCCAGGGAGGGAAAAACACCGACCCCTGCTCACCAGAATCCCAGTGCAACAGATATAACCGCATCAGTTTCAACAATTCTGGTGTTGGACAAAGCCTCCTTTTGTCAGTTAGGGAAGCATCAGCACAACCTCACCAGTTAACTGCATTAATGGGATCCATTCATGTCACTGACAAATACTTCTGGGCACAGTTCACTTTCCTGACCCAAAGACGCCAACAACAATCCAAACAGGACTTTGTAGGGTAGTGTATTATTATACCAGCCCAGTGAAAACATCTTCAGATCACTAAAAACTACACAAATGCTATTAACAAATGCAGTTCCTATTTCAAGAGTACTAATTGTTTTCCTGCAAAGCTCTTTCAATCTATATCATAAAGGTAGAATTTATTTTGAAGATTGTTTTGGGGACTCCATTTAGTGCTGAGCTGAACTTATTTTATTGTCCCCTTTATTTATTTGCACAGAACCTCAGAATGCTCTAAATCAGGTAATAAGCAGCAGTGTGTTTATTTTTAAGTAGGACACATGAACAGTGAGTTGGCATTTAGACTCAAATCCCATGGTGCTTTCTATCCACTGGGACCCTTACTTAGGGACAGGATTCCTTTCCCAGAGGTAGAGCGGTATCCTAAGGAAACTGCCGGCACTGCTTTTTGGCTCCGTGTTTTAAGACTGGGAGAGAAGATGCAAAATGAGAATAGACAGCAAAAATTTAAGTTCATCAACTGATGTCCCCTAAAACACTGAACATTAAATGACACAGGCCTACCAGATACTATATTTCTTTTAGTGGGAGGGAAGAGCAAAAGCTTTTCAAAGTTTGAGTATTTATTAGAATTTTTAAATAAAGAGAACTACGAGTTTAATTTCACATCTTGGCTATGTTTTGACAAAGGAGATGCCACTAAGAGTATAGCAACAAACTCCTGTCCCAAGCCAGGGATTGATCAGTGCCCCCCACCCCCAGCCCCGGTCTCAAGACCCTTTTCTGCGTACTTCTCGACTAAACAACACAATTGGCAAATGAAGCCAGCAACAAACCTGTATCAAAACCCAACAAGACAGTTTGCAGGGAGCCAATGCATTACGTTGCTGTTCTAATAACTGATTAAGCATTCTCCCATACCACTTCTCAGTGGACGATGGACCTTTCACATCCCAGTGGGAGACATATTTAATATTTCTGAGCATGCTCCATGGTGCAATTACAAGTGCTATAACATTACAAAGACAAGCAAACATCTGAATTTTCCTCCTGTGTACTTTTCAGGAACGTAACATGGTTACCCAGAACAGGGACAGGACTGTACAGCTGCACTTGCCAAGTACAGTTGGATGCTTCACAGCACAAGGACAATATCCAGTTCAGCACGGTGTAAGGCATGGATGCACAGGGAGAGAGGCCTTTGTCGGCGATAAGTAGCATTATGGAAAAAACTCCAAACCAGCAGGATAGAAACAGTGCTCGATGCTCCAGTTTTTTAGATAGTAATCCCAAGAATCCAGTTCAAATCCCTATTGTCAACATGTAGGGAGGAACTCAATTTCTAGCATTGTTTCTCCAGATCTGAGCTGAGGCCATTTGCTCCTGGCTTGGTAATAAAAAAGAAAATAGGTTTCTTCCTGTTTCTTTCTTGGCATGGAAACACAGCTTTGAGAAGAGAAGGCCATGAGTCCTGGGAGCACTATGAAGGTAGCTAAACTCTTCCTATACCCTACATAACTACAGTCAATGACTGGGGAAAAGAGAGAGGACAGGGAACTTTACCTATAGCCACTAGCATCAGAAACAAAAAAGTAAATTAATTGTGAGTCTCTCCACTTCAGAAACACCCTGAATTTAAAAAACAAAACTTTGAAAAATTAAACAGTTAAATCCCTCTTCTAAAAGTCATTTATTTACATATTATATGCCCAGTATATAATGTGTAGATAAATGTATCTTGCAGTGAAAGTGACCAACCTACCAGACTTAACAGCACATTACAGGACAAATTCTTGAAAGATTTCATCTCATACTGGTATCTTTTAATAAAAAAAAAAATTAAAAAAAAAAAAATCTGGCCAGGGCTGGGATGAAACAAACAGGAACACTTCAGAATCCAAGGCAGAGGGAAGGCTGTTTGCCTCTTTAGAGAATTGTAGGGGTGTGAAAAGGGAGAGACAGATCATGCACAAAAGTACTGACAAATTACACACCCACCCCCCACCCCCTCAATAAAAAGAGAAGAAAAAGCCCCATCACTTAACACCAAACAGCAACATTATCAATAAACCCTTTCTCTGCTGCCCATCATGCCTTATTTGAAAGAGGGGGCCTGTGAGGAGAGGTGAAAGAGCAAGGGTGAGAGGGAAGACCTGCACTTCAGTCTAGTTTCCAATTTCCATTTCTCTTACAGGAAATCTTCAGTCATCTGATGCCTGGCATTGAGCTCTGAGCAGAAACTGAGTAAGTGGTGGCCACGAGCGGGGTGCCATTGTTGGCTGAGTAGCCTTGCCTCAACGTTTCAAAATACGATGCTTGCACCGGTTTGTGATACTGCAGCACTTTTATGGCATCTTCTATTTTAAACCATTCCCGCTTCCTTCCTGTCGAGGCAGAGAGAAAAAGAAATCAGTACAAAAGGAAAGCAGTAGGTTTCTGACCCTAAAACTTTTGAGAAAATGTAGAAAAAAACATGGAAGCAATGGTTATCAGTGTTTTTCTTTTCTTTTTTACATTGAAGTATAACTGACCTACAACACTATGTTAGTTCCAGGTGTACAACATAGTGACTTGATATTTCTACACATCACAAAATGACCACAATGGTTATCAACATTTAAAAAACATGTAAGTTTATTCTTCCTTATTTTCTTTTCTTACAAGGGTGATGTAAGCACTTTATATGCTTCAAATATTACACAAATGTCTAATGCAGAAAACAGGTAAGAAATCTGAAAACTGAAGAGCTGAAAGTAATTGTGTGAAACCTGCCCTCTAAAGAGAACCACTGCTAGTGGTTTCCTCTTGAGCTCCTGGGCCTCTGGGCCTTCCTCGGCTTGTACATAAGTGCCTGAAGCCCGCCAGCAACCCCATCTCCTGCAAAAACAGACATGAGCATCAGCTTCCAGAATTACCAGGATGGCTGACTTGTAATCAGTTATTTATTTTAATATTTTTGTATAAGAGTGATATACCTACAAAAAAGAAAATATTTTCTCAAAAAGAGGAAAATATAATCTCAACACAATCATTATTAACTTTTCAGTGTATTTAAATTTTTTTTCAAATGCATGTTTCAAAATCCTCCATTATTTTTTCTCTTACAAAAATAACAAAAGATCATTGGTTAAAATTGGGAAAACAGAAGAAAGCATAAATAAGATAATTACCTGTAATCTTATAAACCAGAAGTAACTACTCTTAATACCTTAGTGCATTTGCTTTTCTTTCATCTTATTTGAAAAAGACACAGTTATTTGAGCAACTATTATTGGGATCATGCTTTAAGGTGCTAGGAATCCTCAGAGGCCCTGATGGAGTGCTGTTGTTAGGAACATGGACACTGAAGCTAGTATGCTGGGCTCCAATCACATCAATGGCTCTAATGAGCTGCACAGCTTTGGGCAAGCTACTGAACCTCTCTGGGCCCCACTTTCTTCATCTATAAAATAGAGATAATAAATAGTGCTATCTCACAAGTCTGTTGTGAGAGCTAATATGTAAAGCATTTGAACAACACCTGGGACAAAGTACATGCTGCAAGAGTTTGCTTTACTATTACTGTTGTTGTTATTGCTTCTTTTCCACTTCACATTGTTTCTTAAGCATTCTTCTCTGTTGTAAAAGTATGATATTTAATGGTTGCATTACATCGTAATATCTAGCATGGATATAATGTCATTCACTTAACCATTTCCCTATCATTGGACATCAACAGTCTGCAATTTTAAGTTATTATAAATAATGCTACACTTAAAAAAAATTTGAACACTATAGGGCTTGTGATACTGTCAAACCGCTTTCCAGAAGGATGTACCGATCCCCAATCCTGCTTTTGTTGTGTTGGAATGTCAGTCTTACCACACTCCTGCCAGCACTGTTAACTTTTGTTTGGCACTGCCAATTATTTAGGTGAAAACCAGTACCTCATCTTTGTTTTCACTTCAAATTCATATTTTAATCTAGTTCTAATTAGTGTATATACAATTCTATACCCTGTTTTCAGTCACCAACACAATCTCATAAGCACTTTCCCATGGTGTAGAGCTTTCATAAGTATGCGTTTAACAGCTGCCTAACGTTCCATCAGATGAATGGACCTTAGATCACTTAACATTTGCTGACCTGTACATTTTAAGATCCAATTTTTCATCTGAAAAAGGCTCATCTGAAGGAAGGCTCATAGGCTTATTCCCATATTTCAGATTGTTTCATTAGAGTCAATTCTCAGCAGTGGGAGTACAGGTGAAAGGCTTGTTTGGATATTAACAGAGCAATGGTACTTTAAAAATTAGTATCACAAGTGTGTGACTCCCACCCGACAGAGTACTCTGAGGACAGGGCCAGTCACACCACTCACCTCTGTTTCTTTTTCAGGCCCCAGCACCGGCTGTCAAGGAGTCTATTTTTAATCCCCCCCCCCCCGCCCACTGAATTTATTTATACTTAAGTTTACTGCATTCTTACCAAACACAAAGCAATTAAAAGCTGAAGAGCTATGAAACGCCCAGATCAACAATGTGAGAGGCATGATGGCAAAGCATATGCTAACAATAAAGGGGGAGGCTTTAGCCAATTTACAACAGAAGTTAAATTACTATTACACTTTTCTAGAATATACTTTCCTTCAGAGCTAAAAGATTAAACCATGAGCCAACCATTAAAATCACCTCAATTTTTAGGTCAAAATACATATATACAGACTTCCCTGGTGGCACAGTGGTTAAGAATCCGCCTTCCAATGCGGGGTACATGGATGGGTTCGATCCCTGGTCCGGGAAGATCCCACATGCCACAGAGTAACTAAGCCCATGCGCCACAGAGTAACTAAGCCCATGCACCACAACTACTGAGCCCACACGCCTAGAGCCTGTGCTCCGCAACAAGAGAAGCCACAGCAATGAGAAGCCTGCACACTGCAACAAAGAGTAGCCTCCAGTTGCCTCAACTAGAGAAAGCCCATGTGCAGCAACAAAGACCCAACACAGCCAAAACAAAAAAAAAGGACATATACATGCAATAGTGATCTGAGATCAAAGAAAATGGCTCCTTAGGAGAAAGTCGCGTGCACCTGAAGGGTAACATGAATATAACTGGAAACTACTCCCATCACTCTACACCTACTATACAGCTCTGGAGGGAGGGGCTCACACAACCAAACCGACAGTTTTCTCTAACAGTATGAATAAGCACTGCAAGGAACAGCCACGGTCCTGCTCCCGCCTGAGGTTCATGACCAGCAGCGGGCCTAGCATTGCGGAGGCCTTGATCAATACCTGCTTGGGAGGATCCAATTTGGTTTTAGAATCAACAGGTCTTACTTTTATGGGCCGCATTTCTAAATGTTGACTATGTACCCAACTCTGGCTTCCTCTTAAACATTTCACAAGTTCAAAAATGGACATCCTTCTGTTATTTCTTTTCTTTATCAGGCTCTCATTTGTGGTTCTGGGTAATGACCTACAGCACGGCCAGGGCCGGTTGTGGGGAGCTCTTTGGAGGCCATCTGGGGATAACTTACCAATGTTAACTGAGTCTTCCCAGTCTTCCAGCACTTCTGTGACAATGAGCACATAGACATACGTTCTGTGCTTCCTCTCCTGGTTCTGAAGGGCAAAGAGGGACAGAGAGAGTTTTTCCTTAGAGAGCTGAGATTATGTAAACGTCCAGAGAGCTTAGACCCAAGGATTCCTTTCACTTTTTATCGTCCTACAATCAGATATGGAATAGCACCAACTGGCCTATTTAAAACATGCCACACTTGAATATGAGGGTGCGCTCTTTGCCTGGGATTCCAAAGCCAAGGCTTTACCCTCTTTTTTCTGCGCAACTTCTCAAGAATACTGAGAAAAGGATTTGGGACCTCTTGAGAAAAAGGCACCAAGTAAATTTAACTAGCTACAACACCAGAAAGAGAAGAGACTGTGGTGGGCAGGGGTCCCATCAATGTGAGCAAGCTGATTATCTCATACGTCTCCCCTCCTCCTACTAACCCTGTTCATCTTTATTCCCTGATTCCCTACTTTCTCCAAATCTCTAGTCCAGACGATGTCCTTGTTTGTCTCTGTGCTATAGCTACTTATCTTCCACTTCTCCTCTGTCTCCTCTGCACTTATCTACCCCCCCTCACATCTTGGGAGGAGAGGAGGAGAGGCAGACACGGGGAAACAACTCTAACAAATAATTCTAGCTGACTGGAGGAGATCATGGGATTTTAAAAAGAATGCACGTTATTCTCTGCTGGTGCTGCACTGTTTTGAAAACTTAGTGAAACAAAGATGGCATCTTTCCTAGATTAAGACTGCAATGGACGATGTTTATGTCCTCCCCCGCCCCCCCAATTCCTAACCACCAAGGTAATAGTATTAGGAGGCAGGGGACAGTGGGAGGTGATTGGGTTATGACAGAAGACCCTCATGAAGAGAATTAGTGCTCTTATAAAACAGACCCCAGAGACATTCCCTCTTCTGCCATGTGAGAACACAGAGAGAAACCGCTATGAACCAGGAAGTGGGTCCGCACCAGACACTGAATCTGCTGGCATCTTGATCTTGGGACTTCCTAGCTTCTAGAACTATGAGAAATCAATTTCTATTGTTTATAAGCCACTCAATTTCTGGTATTTTGTTACAGAAGCCTGAATGGCCCATGGTGAAGACACATGTGGTTATTAATATGATACCAATTGCACCAAAGATTTTAACAGACTTACCTCAAAAATTCCGACTAATCTTCCCAATGTCCCTTTCACTCCAGCCTGAAAAATAAAAAAGGAAGATTCATACATTGACACTGCTTACATTGCTGGCTGGTCTCATTCTGAATCTTCTTTTTCTTTTTTCAAAAAATAAATTTATTTATTATTTTTGGCTGTGTTGGGTCTTCATTGCTGCGTGCGGGCTTTCTCTAGTTGCAGCGAGCGGGGGCTACTCTTCCTTGCGGTGCGTGGGCTCTAGGCGCACAGGCTTCAGTAGTTGTGGCTCGCGGGCTCTACAGCGCAGGCTCAGTAGTTGTGGCGCACAGGCTTAGGTGCGCCGCGGCATGTGAGCTTTTCCCAGACCAGGGCTCGAACCCGTGTCCCCTGCATTGGCAGGAGGATTCTTAAGCACTGCACCACCAGGGAAACCCACATTCTGAATCTTCTTGACCAATTTGTAAAACAGAAGTAAAAAAACGAGAGGACACAGCTCAGGTGGACTCCAGGTCTGTGGGGGTCATACCAGTGTGTCGTCTGTGTCACAGACTGATAACAGCGGGGTATGCTCTAGGGAGAGAAATTCCTCTCATCTCTTCCCTGTCTCTCTCACCACTGCAAAACTGGCCAAACAGAGGAAGATAATCAAGGCCATAGCCATACAAAAGATATTTTGAGGTATGAATTACTTCCTTCATTTACCCATTGATTGAACCAATATACCCTGAATGCCTAATCTGAGCCAGACAATGGTGTAGATGCCAGAGGTATAGTGATGAATAGGCTAGAACACAAAGTCCATGAGAGCAATACCCTTATCTGAATCGTTATTGGCTGTCTGTACCCAGCATGACTAGAAAAGAGCTCAGCACCTGGCAGGAGCTTTATAAAGAATAAGTCAACAAAAACAGATCTGGTGGGACTTCCCTGGTGGTCCAGTGGTTAGGAGTCTGCCTTCCAATGCAGGGGATGCAGGTTCGATCCCTGGTCAGGGAACTAAGATCCCACATGCTGAGGGGCAACTGAGCCCGCATGCCTCAACTGGAGAGCCCACGTGCTCTAGAGCCTGCACATTGCAACTAGAGAGAAGCCCACGCGCCACAACAAAGATCCCGTGTGCTGCAACTAAGACCCAACACAGACAAAAATTAAAAAAAAAAAAAAAGATCTGGTAATTCTGCTAAATGACAGGTTTTATGACAGGAATGCACAGAGCATGTGATGAACAGAGAATTAGGCGAGAGGGGCAGCTTTACACAGTGATTAGGCCTTTGTAGTATATACTCTGTTTATTCCATCAGCCCTTTGGTATTTTCTTTTAGATCTGTGTCTTTCTGAGGCATTACAGGTGACTTTTTCACTCTATTCCAACTCACTAATTTTCTTTTCAGCCATATCCTGGTTAGAGTTATCCATTTCTGGTCCACTTTTTATTTGATTTTTTTCATCTTTACTTGTTCTTTACATATCTACCTGCTTCCATTACATACAGCTCTGTTTCCATGATTCAAAAAATATTCATTCATTCATTCATTCATTCATTTCTGTGTTGGGTCTTTGTTGCTGCGCGCAGGCTTTCTCTAGTTGTGGCGAGCGGGCTTCTCATTGTGGTGGCTTCTCTCGTTGCACTGTATGGGCTCTAGGTGTGCGGGCTTCAGTAGTTGTGGCATGTGGGCTCAGTAGTTGTGGCTTGCGGGCTCTAGAGCATAGGCTCAGTAGTTGTGGCACACAGGCTTAGCTGCTCCGTGGCATACGGGATCTTCCCGGACCAGGGCTTGAACCCGTGTCCCCTGCATTGGCAGGCGTATTCTTAACCACTGCACCACCAGGGAAGCCCTTCCATGATTTTTGTTGTTGTTGTTCTTTTAAAATAGAAGTTATTCCTTTATTTACGTTTTGAACATTCTAAAAATATTTAACTTCTTTGTCAGGTCATGCTATAAAATTCATTTTACCTGAAGTAAATTCACGTTCCAACTGGTGAAGGGCTTACTTGTGATGCTGCTTTCACCAGGCTCTCCAGAGCCAGGTCTTAAAGTGAAAATTTAGGGTTCCTGCTTCAAGGTAATACAGTGAATACTGTAGATAGAGCCCCATCCTTTACTGTGCACTGCATCTGCATCCTCTCCCTACTTAGGCCCATATCTTTCTTTTTTTTATACAGCAGATTCTTATTAGTTATCTATTTTATACATATTAGTGTATATATGTCAATCCCATCTCCCAGTTCATCCCACCATCACCCCCCCACCCTGCTTTCCCCCCTTGGTGTCCATACATTTGTTCTCTACATCTGCATCTCTACTTCTGCCTTGCAAACTGGTTCAGCTGTATCATTTTTCTAGATTCCACATATATGCATTAATATATGATATTTCTCTCTCTTACTTCACTCTGTATGACAGTCTCTATGTCCATCCAGGTGTCTGCAAATGACCCAATTTTGTTCCTTTTTATGGCTGAGTACTATTCCATTGGTATATATGTACCACATCTTCTTTATCCATTTGTCCATCGATGGGCATTTAGGTTGCTTCCATGTCCTGGCTATTGTAAACAGTGGTGTAATGAACACTGGGGTGCATGTGTCTTTTTGAATTATGTTTTTCTCAGGGTATATGCCCAGTAGTGGGATTGCTGGGTCATATGGTAATTCTATTTTTAGTTTCTTAAGGAACCTCCATACTGTTCTCCATAGTGACTCAATCAATTTACATTCCCACCAACAGTGCAAGAGGGTTCCCTTTTCTCCACACCCTCTCCAGCATTTGTGGTTTGCAGATTTTCTGATGACGCCCATTCTAACCGGTGTGAGGTGATTACCTCATTGTAGTTTTGATTTGCATTTCTCTAATAATTAGTGATGCTGAGCAGCTTTTCATGTGCCTCTTGTTGGCCCATATCTTTCTAAAAGTCTCAGCTCCTGGTGTCCTTTCCATTGGGTACTTGGCCTCCCCCTTACTCCAAGGGCTCCAACCACCAGCCATGCAAGGCCATGGAGGCTGCAACTTTCCTCTGCTGTTCTGCAATTCTGCTCTGTTACTGATCTATGGAGGTATCCACTTTGCTTTTGAGTCAGGCTGTCTTTTTAGCTTTTGCCTTTTATATCTGTCTCTGCTAGGAGTAGAGGGGGTGAGAGGTGAGGGAAAGATTTCCCTGGAAATGCCTGGGGGATGCAGTAACTTGTTTTCTATTACAACTGCCACCATGTTATTTTGTACAATACATTAAACATTAAGGCAAATATACTTTCTGGGCTTCCCTGGTGGCGCAGTGGTTGAGAGTCTGCCTGCCGATGCAGGGGACACGGGTTTGTGGCCTGGTCTGGGAAGATCCCACATGCCGCGGAGCGGCTGGGTCCGTGAGCCATGGTTGCTGAGCCTGCGCATCTGGAGCCTGTGCTCCGCAGTGGGAGAGGCCACAACAGTGAGAGGCCCACGTACTGCAAAAAAAAAAATAAAAAAAAAATAAAAAAAAAATATATATATATATATATATATATACTTTCTAAAGACAGTAGGTGCTCAATAAGTTTATACAGAATGAATAAAAATTTAAAATAAGTACTCCAAAAGTTCTTTAGAGATATTCAATAATAGAAACAACAGAAGCCAATTTAAAGGCCTAGATTCCTAGATGAGCTATATTTTAAAATTAATTTTTGCTAATTATCTGTCAAGGAATTACTTTCCTTTCTCTTGCCAACATGCCTATTTCTTTTCCTATTCTTTTCCCATCCATTCTTTTCCCCATGTGGCTTTTGGTCTACTTCAATGGAAGTGTGCACCTTTTCTTATTTAAATTGCTTTTCTACGTTTTTAGAAATAATTGCACTCCACAGGCGGCTAAGACTAGCTAGACTGTACTTCATGAATTAACCAATGAAGCTGCCTGAACAAGTGGGACAAGCTGGCAGGCTGTCCTCATCTGGAAAGCCAATGCTGTACTCTGATCCTAGGCAGCCCAAACATGCTCAGATCAGCTCCTGAGATGTGTCACCTGTGCTCTTGCCACAGGCCTCCACTGACAGGGCCTCGGAATAGAGCTGTCAGGCTTTGGGGGAAGGAGGCCTGCGGTGGGTTGGCGGAGGGGAGGCGGCACAAGGAAAGATTCATAGAGGTTCACAGAAGACATCATTCACATTTCTCTTCTGCAAAGTGGAGAAAGTTATCTTCAGCAGTTACTGTTCAATTATTTACTTTTCTTAAAAGAAAACAAAAATGCAGAAAAGGAAATAATCTCCAAATTTTAAAGGCATAAATCAACTTAATATTATGACAATACAATTTACTTAAAACTTTTAATTATAGTAATTTCTGCATTCAACACCAACATGTATCTATGATTTACTCTGTGTCAGAGGCAGTTGGGAAAAGTATAAAAACATTTTTCTTAATGAAATAGATGCATTTTTATAGTCTAGAGTAAATCAAATAATGCTGTCATCCGTACATGAAATACACCGGCATTTATTTTCACTTCTAATTAATCACTTCTAATCAACACTAGTTTTTTTTTGTTTTTCATTTTTTTTTGTTTTGTTTTGCGGTACGGGGGCCTCTCACTGTTGTGGCCTCTCCCGTCGCGGAGCACAGGCTCCGGACGCGCAGGCTCAGCGGCCATGGCTCACGGGCCCAGCCGCTCCGTGGCATGTGGGATCTTCCCAGACCGGGGCATGAACTCAACACTAATTTTATTTCTTAAATGTTTCTTTCAAGTTTTATTCTTGGAAGATCTACTTGGGAGAATTCTATCTAAGATGACTCTACCAATGATTATCTATGGTAAAAAGCAAAGAAATATTCCTATATTTACCAGTTTCTAAAACTGGGCTTTAGCAGTTTTCTTAGGAGGAGGCTCCTCTTTCGTAGGAAAATGGATTTCAGTTCTTTAAAGCCATAGTGCCGATAAGAGGAAGATTCCTCATAGGCAAAGTTTCTCCGAGACAGAGTTCACTGTAACCATTTTACTTTTTCACAATCTTCCACAGTCCAACTTTCATATCCTAGCTCTCTCTCAAATGCTGCCACAAGCAATTGGAGAGAGATATTTTTACCTCTCAT